CAGGAGGACTTTAACAGAACTTTAGTCAAGTCTGACACGACAATAAACGTCAACCCAACCGGGTGGCGCAAACAGATTACGCACGAAACACTGTGCGGAGAAAACAAGAAAAAGCGCACGCAGTGCGAACTCTCGTAACACATACGAGCGACTCAAAATATCGAGCAACAGCTGACAACAAGACAATCACGCATAACACCTGACCCAAACACACGAACTAAATAAGGGAACAATTAAGACACAAATAAGGGACAGGTGTTATGAACAGACAAAACCAAAAGAACATGAAACATAGAACGGTGGCAGCTAGTACTCCGGAGACGACGACCGCCGAAGCCTGCCCGAACAAGGAAGAGGAGCAGCCTCGGCCGAAACCGTGACAGGCTGCCCATTCTCAGTCTTTCTCTATAAAAAAAACTAGCCGTTACCAAACCACAGACATTCATCACTATTACATTTTGTCTGTGTAGTTTCGTCCATACAGTAGCTTGTGTAGCTTTACATTCTTCATAGCTGCATAGAACATAGCATAGCCCTTCTCTCTGATCCATTTCCCCCCCAGCAACAGAACCTCTGGGAGAGAGAGATGAACTCACTGCTCTCTTACGCAGTAATGTTTGCATGACAGATTAAGGCCCCAAATGACTCTTTGCCTCACCCTGCCTCCAGTCAGCCTTCCCCCTCTGCTTCCCCCATCCCCCCACTGTAACAGGCCTCTAATGCCGTCATAAGCCATCTCTGTTGGGGGTACACACATTCATACACACGAACACACACACACACACACACAAACGCATGCACACACACACACACACACATGTACACACAGACAGACACACATGCACACAAACGCTCTACTGTGTGCCAACCAGCCTTCCTTTAGAACTAACTAAAAGGCAAGAGATTACACACCATCACACATCCAAACGTGGCAATGGAGCTGTTTGGATAAATAGATAGCACTGAAAAACTGCCCCAGTGAGTAGGGTGAGCAGAAGACACTTGCAGCAAACAGCAAGTAGAGCGGATACGCATTATATTTTCACTCCTCTACCCATCAAAACCCTGCTATCTGTGCCACAACAATAACTACTAACACAAAACCTTTAAGGAGGACAGAAAAAGAAGTACAGCACACACATACACACATATATAGACACACACACACACACACACAAATGCTACCAACTTACAGTAGTAGCAAGGATGAAGTGTTTGAATTATTAACTGCTTCTCCAGATGAGTGGGGATGTGTTCCACAGCTCCAGGCAGAGAGGAGCTTCTCTGAAGTGCTTCATCTATTAAATAGAACCAACCTGAGATCTCTCCTCGTCTCTGTTTGCACTGGAACACTGGAGCTAGGTGTGTTGGGAATACAACTACTGTGTGAGACCGGAATATGTTTTGTATTCTTTCTCTGTTGTTTTTCTTTCCCGTATTGAATTTGGCACCAAAATTCTATTGCATCTTTTTTCGTGGGACCCCATGAAAGCTCGCTGAGGTCCCTCAGGGGTCCAAGGCCCCCTGGTTGACAATGACTGATGTACTGTAGAGGTTATAATAATATTTGAGTGTAGCTGATTGTAGTTTCTATAAATGGTTACAGTAGGTGTATAATCTGGTATTACCTGGTATGGACAGGTATATGGTATAGTGGTTAGAGTAGATGCAATGTAGCGTAGTGGTTAAGTAGGGTGGTATATGTTACTTACCTGGTAAGACAAGGGGATATGGTGTAGTGGTTAGAGTATGGATCTCTCACCTTGTATGGACAGGGGATATGGTGTAGTGGTTAGAGTATGGATCTCACCTTGTATGGACAGGGGATGTGGTGTAGTGGTTAGAGTATGGATCTCACCTGGTATGGACAGGGGATATGGTGTAGTGGTTAGAGTATGGATCTCACCTGGTATGGACAGGGGATATGGTGTAGTGGTTAAGGTATGGATCTCACCTTGTATGGACAGGGGATATGGTGTAGTGGTTAAGGTATGGATCTCACCTTGTATGGACAGGGGATGTGGTGTAGTGGTTAGAGTATGGATCTCACCTTGTATGGACAGGGGATGTGGTGTAGTGGTTAGAGTATGGATCTCACCTTGTATGGACAGGGGATGTGGTGTAGTGGTTAGAGTATGGATCTCACCTAGGGCTGTGGTGGTCATGAAATTCTGTCAGCCGGTTATTGTCATGCAAAAGAATATGAGTTGGCCTACTGTATTTTATCTGGCTATGATCCATGCCATAGGCTGTAGGCTTATTCATTTAGCTGACAAGATATGCTTAACGTCCCGTAACATCATTTTATATAATGTGATTTCTCTGTAATGAATGAACTTAGCTGAATGAAATAGAATGGAGTGCGCATATGAAGTGGCTATGTTGAGCTTAAAAGTGATCATTTGAAACAGGTCCTATAGGCTACACTAGATTAAGAATTACTTAGCAACTTTAGTTGTGAATCGTACAAACCATAGAATGTAAGTCGCTCTGGATAAGAGCGTCTGCTAAATGACGTAAATGTAAATGTAAATCAAAACATATATGGGCTGCATGATGCGACTATACGCTATTGATGATTTGAGAAAGTCGGGAAAAAAGCTTGTGCTCCGTCTTCGCCTCAGGCTGCACAGCTGTTCTCTCATCAAGTGATCATATTTTCACCCATCAGACTATTCTCAATTGAATCTTGTCTTTACTAATATGTAAAATTTGTTTCCATCAAATGGGTAGGAACAGGGGCAGGGAAAAAAAGACCTGTCCTCCGTAGGCTATGGACTCGAATAGCGAATGGAGGCCGCGCGCCTTCCTGCGGGTCAGTTTTTTTCAATGTTGCCGGATAGGCTACTTCGGTTTTATAGAGGAGCTGTGCTTAATATGAGCAGCTGAGAAATAAATATAAAAACACTTATTTCACTCCAAACATCAACCACTGTTTGAGGGGCATGCTCTCTGTATGCCACGGGTTCCCCAACCCTGTTCCTGCAGCTACCCAGTGCTTAATTTGGGAAACCAAGTGAAATCTGTTCGGGAACATCGATAGTAACATGTTTTCGTAACTAAACATATTTCACTAAACTGTAGACAGCCCATCTGGCAATAAAGGAGAGAGAGGAGAAGATGGAAACGCATAGTGGTGAGATATTCTGTAGCTAAAGGTAATGTGTCAGCCTATTAATTATGAAAACATAAAAAAAATCCCCATTACTAGGCTATTCAAAATCATATACAAATTCACTATAATTGTAAGCTAACTGTAAGCCGCCCTTCAAAATCACTGAACCAACAGCATCTCCTAGGGCTACACATTCTCTCCAAGACTCGTGGATATACATTTTAGAGTATTGCATAAGGTAACCAGTCCATCCAGTATGCATAATAATACAGTCCACACTCAAAGGCGATTACTAGAATTTTTTTTATATTTGGAGTATGGACTAGACCAATTATGTACCAAAGACATCTTAAATCAGTTTTGTTGTATGTTTTTCTGTCATGCATAATATGTCATTTTAATTCAAGGTTTTTGTCGGCCTTGGGCTCATAAGCCTATGCATATGCATAATCTCTAATATGCATATGGGTGTTTTGAATTAATCATCACCTTAGAAAGCGTTGTCCATTTCATTATGTTAGGCTTTGAAACAACATCCACAACAACCATATTTTATACTCAGTTTCAACCTGCTTTTCAACATCTTTCTTCAAATTGATCATCACAGTGAGGTGAGTTTTAAAAGCACATACTGTTTTGATGATAAGTGTTTGATGTGATTTTCGATTGCATTTGCATTGATGTCAGAGTGGTTAGAGGACAATAGAGCCCTGAATACCAGCCATTAGCAAGTCAATGGTCATTAGTTACTACTAACGGATGTCTTCCCTGATTTCATAAGAGGAAATTACCGGACTCACGCAAACGGTCACATGAATTTTACTCTGCGGTGATGACTCATGACTTGCCGGTGTGCGGTAATAATGGTCACAGACAGCAGCCCTAATCTCCCTGGTATTGACAGGGATGTGGTGTTAGTGGTTAGAGTATGATCTCACCTTGTAGACAGGGATGTGTGTATGGTTAAGTATGGATCTCACCTTGAAGGACAGGGATTGGTGTAGTGGTTAATGTATGGATCTCACCTTATGGGACAGGGATGTTGGTAGGTGGTTGAAGGTATGGATCTCACCTGGTATGGACAGGGGATATGGTGTAGTGTTAAGTATGGGATCTCACCTGGTACTGGACAGGGATGTGGTGTTGTGTTAGAGTATGGATCTCACCTGGTATGACAGGGATATGGTGTAGTAGTTAGGTATAGATCTTACCTTGATGGCAGGGGGTGGTGATGGTTTGGTATGGGGGCCCCCTGGGATGGACAGGGGTGTGGTTATAGTTTAAGGGATGGATCCACCTGGGATGGCGGGGAAGGGTATAGTTAAGGGATGGCTCACCCGGTAGGACAGGGGGGTGGGTAGTGGTTTTGAGTATGGTCTCCCTTGTATGGACAGGGGAGTGGTGTGTGGGTTGAGATGGGTCTCACCTGGTATGGACAGGGGATGTTTGGTGTAGTGGGTTTGAGTATGGATCTCACCTTTTTGGACGGGGGTATGGTGTAGTGGTTTAAAGGGGGATCTCACCTTTTAGGGGCAGGGGATGTGGTGTTTGTGGGAAGGTATGGGTCCACCTGGTTTGGGCAGGGGGTATGGTTAGTATTTAAAGGGAGGTCTCACCCGGTGGACGGGGGTATGGTGTAGTAGGTTTAAGGGTTGGACTCATGGTTGGCAGGGGAGTGTGTTGTGGTTGAGATGGATCTACCTGGTATGGACAGGGGATGTGGTGTAGTAGTTAAGGTATGGATCTCACCTGGTATGGACAGGGGATATGGTGTAGTAGTTAAGGTATGGATCTCACCTGGTATGGACAGGGGATGTGGTGTTGTGGTTAGAGTATGGATCTCACCTGGTATGGACAGGGGATGTGGTTAGAGTATGGATCTCACCTGATATGGACAGGGGATGTGGTACTCTCTGCAGCGCTCCTGCACCCAGGTAGTCTCCCAGACAGTCCTATAGCTGTTCTCATACAGGTAGCAGGCTATGACCGTCAGCAGAGGGACCAGGTAGAGCACAGAGAACACCCCGATACGGATCATAAACTTCACCAGCTTGTCTTGATTCTCCTTCTCCAGAGGGATCTCCATACGCACGCGGTTCAATGCCAGGATGCCCGCTAACAGTAAAGCCACCCCCACCTAGAATCAGAGAGAGTTGATATGGAGGGATTAGACAAAAGATGATGTCATAAGATATGGTATATTGGTTGGGTAGCTAACAATTTCAATAATTTCCTTCAGTTCCATTCAGATCCACTTTCCTATAGATTTTGAGATGTGTATGACTCAGGTATAATCGAAGGAGCAGGCACAGACAGTGTCAACACGTTTACTGAACTTTGTGCACGTGCACACATAAACTTTGCACACACATACCCACAAGGTACATCCCAAATGCCACCCTATTCCATATATAGGGAATAGGCTGCCATTTCTTACACACCTAATCCCACTGTGACTCATTCCAGCCCTCTCACCAGTACATCCAGGCCCAGCGGAACCAGCAGGAACCATCTCAGCGCCGTGCGGTCATACAGCCCCACGAAACACACCCCGCTGACACTATCCCCTTCTATCTTGTTCATGGCCAGCAGAGTGACGGTCAGACAGCCGGGCAGGCCCCAGGCACATGCATGGAAGAGCAGGGCCTTCTTCTCGATGGCCTCGCTGCCCCACTTAGGCACGGCAGCCAGGAACCAGGTGATGGTGAGGATGACCCACCACACACTGCCAGCCATGGTGAAGAAGTAGAGCACCATGAAAAGCAAAGTGCACACCTGGAGGAGAGGGAGGGAGGGAGGTTTAAAAAAGACTGAAGACATTGAAAAATCCAAGATCATTGAAAATATCGAACAAAGAAAAATGGGATCATTTCTGCTTCTTTGCTATAATAGCCCTGAATGTCACAGAGAAAATTGAAAATCAATCGATCGATTCGTTAATTAAACAATCAGTAATCAATCAATCACTACGCCGATGATGGGTCACCTTGTTATGGGAGCCCTGGGTGACGGTGGACGCCCGGAAGCGCCCGGGGCTCGCTGCGTTGCACGCCACCCTGTCTTCCAATAGGAAGCCCAGGAAGAAGACCAGGGACACCATCATGTAGCACACGGCGTAGAAGATGATTGGCCGCTCCGGGTAGCGGAACCTGGATACGTCAATGAGGAAGGTGAGGAAGGTGAAGAGGGTTGCAGAGAGACATACGATAGACACCACGCCGATGAAGTAGCGGGCAAAGACCAGCTCGTCCCGCTGGAAGTACATGTTGGAGCAGGGGGGCGAGCAGTCCCTCACACCCAGGAAGGTGTAGCCCAGGTCGGGGTCGATCTTGAGCTCGCGGGGGCACCAGAAGCCATAGTCGCGCTGGACAGAGATGGGCAACTCTGTGGAATCTGAGCTGGACAGCAGATCTACAGGACGAGGGTATGGCTCGTCACAGTCTGGGAACCTGGGGGACGGAGAGGAAACAGCTTATGTTAGACACATATTTCAATTACAGAAAGACACAAAGGTAGTATTTTACAATACTGTTTCCACTGTTTTTACCTTGTATTTGCAAGGAAATCAAGTGTTACTATTGTGTAATTAGCATTTTGCCATGTCATTCTTATTGATGTTGAAATGACCAGGTATTTCCTGATAAATTAATGGTAAAAGGAATGATACCCCAAAACATATATGTGCCCCAGGTGTGTAAAAGTGTACCCTACAGTACAGTAGACTTCTAACCTGTTACAGTCCATCTCTTCTGGCCAGGTGACTCCGAACATGTCCATGAGTTTGTAGCAGTCTCTCTTGGCTCTCTGGCACAGCCGTCGGCAGGGCAGTGTCATGCGTCCGTATTCTGTACACACCGGAGTGTAGAGGGCACATAGGAACATCCTGAGTTCTGACGAACACTGCAGGTTCACCATGGGGTGGAAGGGCTGCGGAGGGGAGAGGAAAACGCATGACTGTCAGGAGGTGTGTAGTCACTGCTGTGTATGAGAGGGCGAGGGGGTATGGTGTGTGTCTGTGTGTCTGTGCATCTGTGTCACACACGTCATACGTCTCATGTCATATACAATCATTCACACACAGAGACACTTGTATGTCAAACACACTGTGCATCTACCACGGAACATGTCAAACACTCAACGTCTCAGCATTAAAGAGACACAAACAGACAACAGAACAGTCATCTAAAGCAGAGCATTATTCATGTGAAGCCAAAATGAGAACACAAACAGACAGTAACATCTTGTCTGACATAGTTTGGAGATGACTCAAAAACACAACTCTGTCCCCTATCCTCATAATCCTCCTCTACCCCCTTTCTCCCCCCGCCTGGCACAATAAGACAGAGGGAGGAGAAGGAGGGAGGGAGAGAGGAGGAGTAGGACAGGCTTGGTAACCCAACCCCCCGTTCATCAGATACCCGGCACAGGCAGGGGCTCTGGAGAGTCCTTTGTGTTTGGGGGAGGGCCACGCTGTTACACACACACACACAGACACACAGACACACACACACACACACACTTCCCTCTCTGCCAAAATGCATTCAGGAAGAGAACGGTAGCTAGCTAGCAGTTGTGAGGCATGGCTTTAGTATGCAAATCCCCAGGGGGAGTGAAGAAAGGGCCCCCACCGGCCCCCAGCCCCACCCAGGGCCAAGCTAGACGCATCCTGCTCCTGCTGGGGCCAGCCTTTGTGACAGTGACAGGGAGAGGGGGAGTGGGGGAGGGGGACAAGACAGGGACCCAAGCAGCAAAAATGGGAAGATGAGCTATATGGAATTTCATTAATAGGGAGTAATAGTGGTGGGTATTGGAACAGAACAGGGTTTTTCTTCAGTGGATATGTATTAAATATACACTATATATACAAAAGTATGTGGACACCCCTTCAGATTAGTGGATTCGGCTATTTCAGCCACACCCGTTGCTGACAGGTGTATACAATCGAGCACACAGCCATGCAATCTCCATAGACAAACATTGTCAGTAGAATGGCCTTACTGAAGAGCTCAGTGACTTTCAACGTGGAACTGTCATTGTGAAGTGGAAACGTCTAGGAGCAACAATGGCTCAGCCGCGAAGTGGTAGGCCACACAAGAACGGGACCGCTGAGTGCTGAAGCGCATAGTGCGTAAAAATAGTCTGTCCTCGGTTGCAACACTCACTACCGAGTTCCAAACTGCCTCTGGAAGCAACGTCAGCACAATAACCGTTCGTCGTGAGCTTCATGAAATGGGTTTCCATGGCCGAGCAGCCTAAGCTCACCGTGCGCAATGCCAAGTGTCTGCTGCAGTGGTGAAAAGCTCGCCGCCATTGGACTCTGGAGAAGTGGAAATGCGTTCTCTGGAGTGATTAATCACTCTTCACCATCTGGCAGTGCAATGGACGAATCCGGGTTTGGTGGATGCCAGGTGAATGCTACCTGCCCCATTGCATAGTGCCAACTATAAAGTTTCGTAGAGGAATAATGGCCTGGGGCTGTTTTTCATGGTTCAAGCTAGGCCCCTTAGTTCCAGTGAAGGGAAATCTTAACGCTACTGCATACAATGACATTCTAGACGATTCTGCGCTTCCAACTTTGTGGCAACAGTTTGGGGAAGGCCCTTTCCTGTTTCAGCATGACAATGCCCACATGCACAAAGTGAGGTCCATACAGAAATGGTTTGTCGAGATCGGTGTGGAAGAACTTGACCGGCCTGCACAGAGTCCTGACCTCAACCCCATAGAAAACCTTTGGGATGAATTGTAACACTGACTGCGAGCCAGGTCTAATCGTCCAACACCAGTGCCTGACCTCACGAACGCTCTTGAGGCTGAATGGAAGCAAGTCCCCGCAGCAATGTTTCAACATCTAGTGGAAATCCTTCCCAGAAGAGTGGAGGCTGTTATAGCAGCAAAGGGGGGACCAACTCCATATTAATGCCCATGATACTGGAATGAGATGTTTGAAGAGCAGGTGTCCACATACTTTTGGTAATGTAGTGTAGATACAATAGTGGTGTAAACATGCCAGAAATCTGGTCATGGTGTTACAGTACATTCATCTATTATAGTGACCATAGGGATGGATGGTAGAACTGGTGCTGATTTGGTTGGTTGTTTTGCATTGGCAATGCTTGCCTTTTACCAATAGATTATTGAATGTCTGGTGGAATATACAGTATGGCTGACTAAATGTAATACTGTCTATATTTATGAAACAATAATGAACAAATAATAGTTTAATTATTATAACTAATTATTCCCCCATTTCATGCCATTTTTCAGTGGTTGACATTTTTGTAACCTCTACAGATAAGGTTTACGGTTGTATATAAAACAGATACTCCACCCGTTCGCTGTGAATTCATGTAAAAGACTGTGGTCTCTGATGACCGTCAGACAGACGTGCATAGTATGCAGATAACATATGGCTAGTAGCTAGCGAGGGATGTACGCTACATGTTATGGTCTGATAAACCCAGCTCACTCTGATCCAAACCCACAATAGACCTCTGTTTTATTTAATGTCAAACATGCTGTTTATAAGCTCCGAACATGAGAAATGTGATTATTAAATATGGGTCAATGGGACGTTGTGTGACTAAACATAACCTATATTAATGTAATCTATATTAATGTAAACTATTTTAACTTAACCTATATTAATTTTACCTATATTAACTTAAAGCTGCAATATGTAACTATTTAGGCGGCCCGACCAAATTCACATAGAAAGGTGAGTTATGGATCTGTTATTCTAAGGTGAGTTAAAGATCTGCAAGTCTAAGAAGCAGTAGATCTGTTCTATGTGCGATATTTCTATGCTTCCCGTTTCTTTTTTGCATCTTTTACTTTCGGCTTGTACACCAGCTTCAAACAGCTGAAAAAACAATATTTTGTGTTATTGAAAATATATTTCACAGCAGTTTAGATGGTACAATGATTATCTATTCTATACATTGCTTGTTTTGTCACATAAACTGAAATTGGGCGAACTATTAGAATTTTAGCAACCAGGAAATGGCAGAGCGATTTCTGCATAGTGCACCTTTAACCTATATTAAAGATGCACTATGTAGAAATCACTCTGCCATTTCCTGGTTGCTAAAATTATAATAGTGCGCCTATTTTCAGTTTATGTAACAGAACAAGCAGTCATTGTGTAGAGAATCATTGTACAATCTAAACCACTGTGAAATATGTTTTCCATTTGCAAAAATATTGTATTTTCAGCTGTTTGAAGCTGGTGTACAAAACCGAAGGTAAAAGACACACAAACAAAACTTAAAAACAGGAAATAGCGCACATAGAACAGATCTACCGCTTCTTAGACTTGCTTTCAACGAGAATGAAAGATCTATAACTAACATTTCTATGTGAATTTGGTCAGGTCACCCAAAAAGTTACATATTGTAGCTTTAACTTAACCTATATTAACTTAACCTATTTTAAGTCTCCAAGAAAGAGGAATACACAGCAGCACTATCATATTCAATACCACATACACTCCCTCACACACACACACACACACACTCTCTCTCTTCCTATGACTAGGATAGGAGGCGCATCCACCTTGTCATCCATCATCACCATAGCTTAGCCTACATATTACACCATTCATTCATCGTAATTCATTCTAATGTAGAAATGTAGACAGAATTCCACTTCTGACACCAGTGTTCAGTCTGGGCTGTCTCCCAGACGCCTGCGTGTATTTAAAAGGATTAGGACGGCTGTTAGGCTTGCCGATTCCCACACAAAGAACCCACATCACATCCACATCCAGACAGCTTTTGTAAATGCTTTGTACATATCAAACACAATATTTCTGCTTTCAGATTTTCAATTGACCATAACATAAAGGAGGTAACGTTGATGTGTGCTTTTATTAGACGGTTTAGTGACTGTTGGAACATAGGGCTCAGACAGACATCTGAGATGACTGACATCCCCTGGACAAAATATTGAATATTGTTTAATTTTTTAAAATCCACACATACAGTATTTGAGTCTACAGATGTACAGGACAGGACGGCTAGCATGTTGCACTCGCCTGGGGAAAATTATTTAACTGCATTAAATTGAAAAAACAAATGCCACGCGTCCTCATCATCACCAGGGAAATGAATTTATTTTGTGTAGGTTTTAATGTGTTTCATCACTTACTACTGCATCTGTACTAGTCTGACTTATTCGTGTTTATGTGTATTTTAGTAGATTGGTTCACTTCCACACCTGTCAAAAACAGATCAGTCAAACCAATCAATTCTGAATAAATGGACCGTCTGCAGACACAAGGCCCAAAACAGTCTCGCTTGAGGCGATGGTAACATAGGAAGAAACACAGAATTAAGTAGAGCGTATTATAGGATCTCTATGGGGAAGAACTTCCTTCATAGCAACCGATCTGTGTATGCCTTCGAGCATTCCTTTTCATTAAACCAAGATCTTATGACACACCTGGCACCATCTTCTTAATCAAATATTTGAGATCAAACGAGCAGGCAAACACATCCACGTTGATCTGCTCTGTATAGAATTAAACAGGGTGGCACCCTTCCTTGGCCTTCACCAGCCTCCAGTCCGGTGACATGCATTACCTCATCAGAGCCCTGTCATGGTGCATTACACACACAGACAGGACAGGGATGATCTAATGAACTTCAAGTGGATCTGGGGTTTCCTTTCTTCTGCTCTCTGCCTCCTCACTTCCAGGGCAGATGTGTGCTCTAGGAGGATATGAATGTATGGTACAGGGTGTGTGTGTGTGTATGTGTGTGTGCGTGTGTGCGCGTGTGTGTGCGCGCGCGTGTGTGTGCGTGTGTGTGTGTGTGTGTGTGTGTGTGTGTGTGTGTGTGTGTGTGTGTGTGTGTGTGTGTGTGTGTGTGTGTGTGTGTGTGTGTGTGTGTGTGTGTGTGTGTGTGTGTGTGTGTGTGTGTGTGTGTGTG